TTGTGTTTGTTATAACAAGTGCGACAGCTTAACTTAGTTATGTATGCAGGTATGTACATATGTATGTACATATATAGATTCTTAAAAGAGCATAACAATGCTGCCATACAAAGCCCCTGGGCTAACAAACGCTGTGAAGGCGGAGGTTGAATTGCTTTCGCAAAAAGTTGTACTGTATTTCGCAAGAGGGTGGCAGAATTTGTGGGTTCGTTAGATAGAAATTTTGTTTTGCAAACTATTGATTTTGCAACTTTTCACACTGTTGTGCAACAGAATTCTGCACTGCGTCAACTAATTCACTGACACTTGTGTTGCGTTGGTTGACATTTTTTTTTTGCTGATTGTAGTAAACAAATATGTACATACACACAAACTTAGCTATACACTTGGCACAATCGGATACAGCGTCGGAAATAGCTATGCACTTTGACATTTCCGTGGCAAGGACGATAGCTGCGTAGCGTTGGTTTTCGTTTTTATTATTGTACTTTTATTTTCATTTTTATTTTTTCAAAGATACACAAAAGGCAGTGGCTGGCAGTTGTACTTGCCGTGGGCTTAAAAGCGCTGGTAGATACACACATATGTATGTATGTACATATATAAAAAACTTTGTATATAAATCACTTTTCGTTAATTGACTTTGGATTCATAAAATTTGCACTAAAATTTGTTAAATAATTTTCTTAAATACCATTCGATTTGCACCCGTGCGTAGGTACGCGTCATTCACTTCTTACTAAGCTGTATACAAACACTTCAGAAAAATTCTTTTGCGTTCTTTTGTACACTCAGCTTTGCTCCTTTTATTTTGTGTGCTTTGTCTTAAATCACAATTTACTCAAATACTGGTATTCTTGCTTTTAATTTACTTATATTTGCTGCTCTTCAGCATCGCCAAATAAAAAATAGATCCGCTAACCGCCGCGCGTCCAATTCAAGCGTCATAAGTTAAAAACAACAAGAAATAAACTGCAAAACACACCAAAAGTTTATATCCATACAGGGGGATTGTTGTTGGCGCCCCAAATGCAACATGTTTCGCCTGCAACATGTTGGTCGCACACGTTCTGTGAAACGATAAACGAAGTGCTTAGATAAGCAAATTCAACGTATCCACTAACGCGCATACGTACGTACATACATACATATTTCCATACATATTACAATTTCTAGATATGAGTTTGTATACGAAGCGTGTTAGCGCTCGTTTCGCCTGCAAACAATTTTGCACCTAAGCTCTGCAAACAAAGTTGCCGGGTATGCTCCACAAACAGTGGGACCATGTTAGCCCTTTTGAGGCTAGATACGCGGATTTTTTGTAGACATTTTAAGCCTCTGAACAGCTTCTTGTGTGATTTTGAATTTTCAAAATTATTTCGCATATACCTACATATGTACATACATACATATGTGAATGTTCATAAATTATTAATATCTCCGAGACCAGTTAATCCTTAACGGAACCTATTGCATTTTGCAGGGCAATTCTGGCTTAGATAGTAAAGTCTTTCTGAAGACAAATGAAAAGCAAATCGCTACATAGTTCGAAAGACTTTTGTTATTCCAGCATACAATTCTTTGAAAACCTAATCTATTCTAGTCTATTATGAGAAATAGCATTTGTATATCATTTAGGTCGCGTTGCTCCCACAGTCGCAGTGTCCGAGTGAACAAAGCGCTGGCGTGCATTCGAGATATCCGAGTTCAAGTCTTCGGGAAGTGGAATTTTCTTTTTTTTTAATTAACATTTTTTTAATGTTTTTTAAATCTAGATTTCATTGTTTAAAAAAATATATATATATATTTTTAATTTCAGTTAAGTTTCAGAAACTTATTTTATGTATTTTTTCTTTTTAATTAATTTTTTTCTTTTTTTAATTAATTTAATTTTATTTTTTAGATGTATTATTTTAGATTTAATGCTCAAAAAAGAAAGATATTTTGTTTTTAATTTCATAAAATTTTAGAAAATTATTTTATTTTACGTAGGCTGCACTTCACTAATTTATTTAAGTGAAAACTACATTAATTTTTAAATCTTTGATTTCACCAATCAATTTTAACTTGTTTTTAGTTTTGATTTAAGTGACCCATGCTCTTCACTTAAATAAAAATTAATACCGAATAAACACGCTCATAGATGCTACACGTTTAATCAGCTGATCAATATTATTAAAACTGAAAAAAAAATATTAATGAGAATTAAATAGAAAATTAAACTAAAGTTAAATGAGTTTGGTGAAACTAATATAATTTTTTTTATTACATTTTAATTTTAAGTACTATTTTCTCCCTTGGTTCAATTTTGTTTTTAATTTAATTTTTAGATTTTATTTTTTTTAAAAAGAAAAAAATTGTTTTAATTCAATTTAATTTTTAAAACTATTTTTATTTATATTTGTTTTATTTTATGTTATTTATTTGTTTTGTTAGTTTGGTTTATAAATTGAATTTCTCAGCAAAACCGACTTTTATAAAATTACCTAGTACCAAAAACCTCTTTGCACTGATTTAGCTACGGGGTCAACCCTTCTTCGTTACTTTTATTTTAAGAAAACTAGTTTGCTTTCCTTGGCCAAATCATATAATTTTTTCTATCTTACATAATGAGATAACCTACGCTTATGTAGTTGGATGAGCGATAATTTTTGTTTGGAAAATGTTGAAATGTGTTCATCTATTTCTAACTTTTTTAGTAAATTTAGCTTGAAATCTGGTCATACTGCACAAAAATGTTGTCGCTTGTCGGCATTTTTGTTTGTGGATTGCATGTTTGTGGCGGTTTAAAAATATTGTACGATCCACAATGTACACATCGAGCTTGTTCGCTTTGAACATTTATTTTATCGTATGTTTTTAAGTGTTGCCGTGTTGCCGTATGGGCATAATTCTTCCATATTTGGTATATTTATATAACAATATTTTCAACGTAGTAAACTTCTTTAGTAAATTAGTTGATTTATAATTCTTGCTGGAAATGAAATTTAAAACGAATAAAATTCAATATTCATTACATTGTTGCTTCGTTTTTGTATTAAAAGTGACGCT